CTCTCCCCAGACAGCCCAGGCTGGGTCGGGGCAGGCCCGGGGAGGGAAGGGGTCATGGGGTGAAGCCGCCTGTGCACCTGGCCGGTACGTGACCACGGTTCGACGTCGCACAGACATGAAGGGACACACAGCTCGGATTCACTTGGCCGTGCTGGCCAGAGGATACGGTGCTCAGTTCTCCCTCCGTCCTGCAGGAGAACTGCTGTGGGGATGAAAAGCAATGAGAACTGGTGTGGAGAGAAAAAACAATCTTCCCTAGGAAATCATCTATGGCACTTTAAAACCTTTCAGTGAACCTGTAGCCTGTTTATACATATACTTTCATATATAGCTACAAATCTATCAAAAAAAAAAAAAAAGATTGAGTACCTGTAACTACACAGCATAAGCAGTAGGAGGCATAAGACATCTGTCAAGAAGTAGGAAATTTCATAAACTGCCTAAGATTTAGGATGCTCTAAATATTTAGTGGTTTTCTTTTGGTGAGCTACAGTATAGTTGTTTAAATTTTCACCATTCCACGGGCATGAGTCACGGCCCCGATTTAACTTCCCATCGGTGGGGCTGAGTTGTCATACAGTGGAGCTGTAGCTGTTATAGCTAAAGAAAGGGGAGGTTAATTTCAAAAAATCTTCTATGTAAAGAAATAGCCATTAATTTCCAGTATCTTAGTACAAATGTCACCTGAAAGTCTCCAGAAATTGTACCATTAAGGAAAAAAAAAAAAGACATTGCTTGCTGTATTCATGGGTATCAGCTTTAAAAAAAATCCTCAATAACTAATAATCCATTCCTGCCTAAATTGAGTGAGGCAAGCACAGTGAACTTGATGCCAGTGTTGAAGTGTTATTAATGCATTAACAGCCTCAATAAATATGTTTTACAGGTGTGAGAATTGTTTTGTTAGCCAATCAAATAAATATATATTCTTCACTTAAAAATAAGATTTTTACGCCATTAATATTTTCTTATAGATTTGTTTCCTTATTGATGGGCACTTAAAGGCACAGCAAGCACTTCTTTCATCATCCTCTTTATGAACTAAGCAGGAAAGCCTCAGAGGCAATGCATGCAGTTTTGCAACAGCATTCATTGTTTTAACAGATAAACGTCACCACAAAACCAGAAAGCAGCAGGCCCGCTCCCCTCCATTGCTTGAAATCACAAGTCTTGGGAGGAACCCCGACTCAGGTCAAAATAATGCTGGAGAGAACCAGGAGGATGCAGAAATACACAAGGTAGTAGTATCGACTTCCACCATTTGGGACTCTGCTCAAACAGATGAAGGTCTTTCTGCTCAGCTTAACGAAAGCCTTCGATGGGACCGGATTCTTGAAGATCCTGTAGCAGAGGAAGAAAGGCTGCGTGTTTATAAGATGAACAGAAGGAAACGGTACGAACTGTATATCCAGCAACATTTGCCTGCTGAGCCATGCCCGACTGTCGGGCGTTCCCCATCACTCGGTCGCAGGGCATCGTGCACAAGCAGTGATCTCACCGTAGGTAAAGCAGATTGCTGCAGTTATTTTCCAGAGGAGCAAGCGTGAACTGCTCCTGAATGCTGAGCGAGTCTCCCAGCTGCCACCAGTGGTGTCACCCAAAATCTCCTAACAAGTTCTGCAGCTTAGTACTGATTACACACTGTCTTGTATCTGTGGAGAACACAACATTTATATTTTAAAAACAAAGCAACCTGTTAGTTAAAATAGGGATGCAACTCAGACTACTTCAACAATTAAAAGTGCTCCTTTCCATACTGCCTATTTGACCTGGAGTATCCCTAGTTGTTGCTATTAGTTTATTTCAGAATAATACTGCATTACACCAGAGATTTTCTAACCAAAATCATTAGCCAATATGAATTAAAAATCACATCAAGCAGTAGGCTGCCTTGTACTCACCTACTTCAACTTCTCATAGTAAAGGCACATCTTTCATGCAGAATGTTACTACGATATCAAACAGCCCAGGCCACGGTAAAGGAAGTATTTGGAAGTTAAGATGGCACATCTGAAAGGAGAGAATTTTTCCTGAAACCTTCCTGAAAAACACCGTTCTGATTTTTTTTAAAGTTTTTTCTTAATGGCTCTTCAAATGGACTGTCTTTTATACCAGCAACTGATGTTTATATACAGCTTTTCTCCTGCTTAATACTTTAAACACTGCACGATACTCAAACGCTTGCACAGACTTTTGCAGGAGCAGCGGCATGCTTTAGAATAGCTTCAAAGCTCCCCAGATTCCAATAATGTCATTATGTCCAAATCTAGAGCTTTTGCAAGCAGATAACCAGATGAACAATAAAATGTAAGCAAAAAATCCCATTATGAATTAATTAACTGATGTTCAATTGCATCCATTTCTACTCTGCCAGAGATACTAACAAAATCAGCACGCCTGCAAATTCGGGTTTAGAGAACAGATTAAGAATCCAGAAAAAGACTATAGCATGTGTCTCAAAACAATAGCTTCTAACCATCTATTTTGTTTTCATGAAGTTTAATGCATAGCGCATTCTAATCTTACGTTGTATTTATTAATGTAGCATTTGAGCCTCTACATTTTTAACAAAATTAAAAAGAAATTCCTGTCTAGTTAACTACGTGTTTTATTTGAAAAGGGTAAGTGTTTCACTTGTAGGATATGCTGAAATCCATACCAGAAACTCTCTTTAAAAATAAAGCTATACCAGATGAACAACTCACACACATACCGGAGAGGATTTTCAGTTGTCTTCAAGGCACTTTTTCAGTGTCTTACTAAACTGATGAAACCACAACATTTGGTGTTGGTTTTTTATAAACAGTTTTATGTAGGAAACGCCTTCCTAGAATATGTAAACAACAGCAACATGTGATATAAGAGAAACAAGAGGGAAGCTGGAATTGGCAGGATGTATTATGTATTTATTTCAAAGGAAATACCATAATAAACACTGAAAAGCTTTGAATGAAAAATAAGGAGACTTCCCTAGATGATGGTTTTCAGATCATTTATTACCAATAAAGTAAAAGACAAATTGAAAATTAGAAGGGAGGGTAGGAAATGTCACAAACATCAGAACACTTGCACAGAGCTAATCAGAGCTTTGCAAATGTTGGAACATAAATAATTTAAAATGTATCTCTACCAATTAAAATATTTTTAAGAGGTACATAATTAAGTTTGCTTTATAAAAAATCAGGTGCTTTATCCTAAAACCATAGTGTAAGGGTCATTTCATTTCTAACTAGGGACGATTGATCATTACAACTTAAAATAATCTTCTCTTAGATGTCTGGCAAATGAACTCATCGGAAGAGCGTTGTTGGAGCAATCCAGGGCCCGTGTTCTTCCAGCATCCTGCGTCCCACAGTGGCCAGCACCAGATGTTTCAGGAGCAAGGTACACGAAACTGCGAAGCAAGCAACGATGCAAAGGGGAGTTCTGTCCGTTCGAACCCCCCCACACCCCTTCAGGGGCTGAGCTGAGCCTTCTGTTACACCACAGGAGTATCTTGGGGTGATGTTTAGGGGAGAATCGCAACACGTATTTAAGACACACCTAAATAGTCTGAAACCAACATGTTTAATGAGAAGACCGTGCTGCTCTTAACAACTCTGGAGCAATGCCTACCTGACTTTGGCATTCTCTGTCACCCTGGAATTGTTTTGGGATCTGATTTACTGAGGCAAATACCACAGATTAAGGACGTTCTGTTCTGAGCTAATAAATAAGTAAAAAAACAACAACAAAAAAACCAAACCACACGAACTTAAGCCTTCCTTCATGCTGCATTTTTAGTCTCCCAAACCGTTTCAGCTCACACGAGAGTGCACTTTCACACCATCCATCACACTTGCACAAACACGCATTAAGTAAGCACAGCTCAAGAACAGGCGCCCGAGTTTCTCACTCACCACAAAACTCACCCTTGGGGCTACGCACTAGCAAAGTCCTCTTTAAAAGCAGGTCCAGGGCTGATGTTGCACCGGAAGGTGACCCACAGCTCAGAGGAGTTTTGGAATACATGGAAAAGCTGTGTCCAGCTAACTCAAGTCTACCAAGTGCTTCTGAGCTGCTACACCACACGAGCCACCAACATAAGCCACACTCCCAAAAGCAGATGCTCCCCACACTACACTGCTCTCTGTCAATATAGAAAAAACCATCTGGGTAAAGTAAGAACCCTCTCTGTGTTATTTTCATCGAAGCAGATGATGAACTAAGGCATGCAAGATCCAGATGGACTTTCATAGTATCTGAAGTAATTCCCTTTGGTCCCCAAACTCATCACACACGTGGGACTGGAGGGGTTATTCAGCAGCCTACAGACAGGCAAAGGCTGCCCCATCCCAGTGACATCCTGAATACCAAAGTCCAGAGAGGACACGCAATGAGCTCAGTGGGGAAGCAGAGCTACAGCTGGGGATTTTGTTACACAATAATAATTTGCCCGTCCTTTGCCACCATCCACCTCGTCACAACCCCTACCACGACAGCCTCTCACGCCCGACCCCAGCATCTCCTGCTCCATTCCAGTCCCTGTACACACTGTGCATTTTCTGAAACTTTCTAGCGATAACTCCCTTAGGGCAGGCAGTACAATGTCAGTAAAAAGGAGGCACCGGTGTTTTTCCACCACCACATAGTCAAGACCTGTCTTTCCATCAACACAGGGGGAATTTTTGGCCTGATATTCTTCATTACAAGTCCACTACACACACACAAATGCTAGTGTGCTACAGACTACAGCGCTGTAGGAGTCACTGTTAAGTACAGAAGAGACATCGCGCCGTTCACCTAAAGAACTTGACTGACCTGATCCTTTCTCTGCTGCCTGGCAGTTTATCTCCTGTTCTACTCAGAATTCCTCTTCTTTCCAACTCACACCTTCAAACCCGACACAAATGCCACAGGATAACATTTTTTTTTATATCTGTTAAATGCAGAATTCTAGATTTTTTTTCTGCTAGCTTTTCCCAGCTATTTCTAGGAGGTGGTGGTTCTAGAGAAAACAGTCTTATGATCTAAAGTGAAATAAATGACAGCTCTGGCTATCAGTAACCTAACGACCTGGTGGATTCTCTGCGAGAGAGTGAACTGCCCTTGTTTTTGTGCAAGACCACAAAGCATCAAATAGATTTCCACCTGCCAGGTTCTATCCCACATTCTTTCTTATCTGTCGCTTTTTTCTCCAGGAAAATACTTCCCATTATTTTCATCTGATTGCTGCACTGCGGGGAAGGGGAGGGAATTCATGACTTTAAAGGCAAAGAAAAAGTTCCTTACTAAGTTCTGTTCCCACAGAAAACTGCGTTCAGGCCGTTCTGATGCTTAAAGCAGGAATTAAGAGCTGAGAAAGAGGTGGTGACAGGTAAGGTTCCCTTAGCCTGACCAGGAAGTTGGGGTCTGCACCCGCTTTAGCTAGTGGAGAGTTAGCACAGTACGTTAGACGGGACTGGGATGGATCAGAGCAAGAGAGACGGCTGTCAGTCAGCATCCGTCCAGGCCACAGTCGTTCCCAAGATACTCCGACGTTTCCAGCTCTATGCTGGAGAGGAACCGCCGCGTGGTTTTACGACAGTTGTAATCCAGCGTGGTGGTGTACACAGTCTTGGCGTGCTTCGGGTAGACGATGGTGGTGCTGGTGAAACGCTGGGGCTTGTTGCGGGGCTCGAAGTGGACCTCAGATTTGTAACTGCGCCACGTGCAGTCTGGGACACAGATGATTGTCTGACTGCAAGAGGAAACGCTTAAGCCCACTGGCATATAGATGTCATCGATGAAGTGCTTCTCCGAGTCGTATTTAACTGAGGATGTGTACCTGAAATACAAGAGAGACGTGCCTGAGCTCTGCTCTGGAACAGCAGGTGGCATTTTCTGGCAAGCAGAGCTGTCGCGTACTGGGATGGCTCCTCAGCCTTGTATCTGCCACCTCAACACAGGAACAGCCACACCACACAAAAATGGTCTGCTGATGTCTTACTCACTCCTTTATGGGAAGAAGCAGCCTTACATTAGCAACACCCCCAGTGTGTCACTGCTCTATCCAGCTGCCAGCACTACTAAACATCTTCTCAATCCTTGTGGCCCTCATTTTTAAGCCTGAGCTCTGGGAACCTAAGACCCTCCTGCAAACTCCAGTGCTTAAACCCAGAGGCCTAGATCCACATTTAGGCTTTGCACATAAGCATCCTAATTCCTCAGAGTGCCAAGTCCATGGAAGAACACGTTATTTTCTCAGTGCCTGGATTGCAAAAGAAAGTTTTCATCTCCTTCACACTGTGACAACTTGTGTGTTAGCTTTTCCACAGTGCTAATGACTCTAATCTCACTAACTGCCTTCAATTCCAGCCACGGTGCTGGCTCCTTCCCCACACCAGGGCATTGACTCTTTCTACCTTCCTTAGGCTTCCGTTTGATTGTATCAGCCTATCTCTGCTTGCACAGTAATCAACTGCAAGCCCTCATTTCTCTCCTGCAAATCACGATGTTCAAAGGAATAGTTCACAGGCTGTGATGCAGTCCATTAGAAAAAATAATTACGCTCTCTCTGAATACTAGATTTTCTTTTAGTTCACACAAGCAGCCAGAGATGATAAGATAGACAGCGCTTATTATAAAACCGTGAGGTTATGAGAGCAAAATTCCTTTCCCCTAATAAAACAGTCCTAGGAAGATGGCTGCTTTGAAGATCTTCCCTCATAATTACCTTCTGGTTAATCAGTTAAAAGGCAACATTTTGGAGCACTGCAATGAGGTAAAAGCAGGAGTAAAATACAGGAAAGTCTTCCTGGAAAAAACCCATATGGGATTAAAAGAGGCTGAACACTCCTTCAGCCTGTACAAATGTCCAGGTCCAGGAATGTACAGCTGTGTGGAACAATAGCTCTGCAAATAAATTAACTTGACTCACAGGCACTGATAAGGCCTAACTACTCCTTTACGTGCTAACTCCTTCAAAACTGGCTGACTGTAACACAATATTTACCTTATTTCCTTTGGTGGTAAAGGGTCAAACTCAACTCCTTCGCCAAAGGATAAAGGACACAGTCTTGGAGGGCAGCTGGAGAGAACGGGGCTGGGGGAGAACACAGAATTCTGCAAAAAATTAAAGAACAATCCCTTTTATGTTACAATTCAGTATATTGTCGAGAAAATGCATTTATTTAGCCCCTGGTACAGAGCTGCTGAGGTTCACATGTACATGCAAGAGGATCTGCTGGTCCAAGACACACCTGCAGGTGCAACCTGCAGGTCTGAATTCACACGGGTCTACAGCATCAAAGATGTGGCAAGGTGTCTGTTTTGAAGACAAAGTCCTTCCTCCAGGAGCTTACTTCAGAGGAGCCGCTCTGGGAAGTGAGAAATACAGCCCCGCGGTGCAGCGTAGCTTTCTGCAGCATGAACTACAGTTCATTTGCCATATGAATTCATGTTCAGTTTATAGGTAACGTTAAGGGAGCGTATGGGAGAGCTCTCCTTGCTGGATTTATCAGATATGCCCACGGGCAGATCACAGCAGGAAATTATTGCAGGGTGTCTCTCACGGTGAGCAGCCTCCTTGTTTGACAGCTACTATTTGAAGGCATTAAATCCAACCTGTCCAGTTCACACGCAACCTGTTGGGAAGGATTAACTCCTTCCCACGGAGCATCCCTGTGCTCCTCTCCTGGACAGGCAGCACCACAAGCCCACTCTGGCCCGGCAGCGTCTCACAGCCAGAAGGAAACCAAAGTGGCCCCAGAGGGAAACTAGTTGCTTGTGTTTTTGAAGCCTTTGCACGTGTGTTTCGCTCTGCAGGGGCGAGGGGGCTGTGAGCATCTCTCCTGTTCAACACACAGTTCTGCTATGGCCTTTTCCAGCTTCACAGCAGCCCCCCTGGAGAAAAGGGACCTTTCCTCTAGATTTGCAGTTTACAAAGTATTTGTGCCAACAGCTCAGCATCGATGTTCAGAAATAATTTTGAAAAAAAAAATAGAGCATTTCTATCGAATACCATTAACTGAAATCATAGTTTCATATACAGACTTCCTACTCTGGGTCGCTCTCTGGAAGAATTAGGGTTCATTTTCCACGGGGCTCTTCAAAGTCGTGCTGGGACACCGTCCCAACCCCGGCCTGGGGCAGGAGAGACAGAGGCTTCCCTCGCATCGGCGAGAACCGACCCCAAAGCCGGAGGCTTTTTAAAACCCCCCCTGACCCCCGGCGGCCGGTTCCCCGCCCGGTGTGGGCACGGTACAGGACACGGCAGCAGCCGGAGACGTCGGTGGAAGGGAGGGAAACGGGGGTCGGTTGTTTCCAACCTGTGCCCACGTCGGCCGCCCCGGTGCCAGCCCCCCCGCTCCCTCCCGGGCTGGTTTCCCACCCTCCCTCCCT